TCTTAAAAACTTCCAGTGTTGGAGCATTCACCGCTTCTGGAGGCAGGTGGTTCCACTGATTAATTGTTCTAACTTTCAGGAAATTTCTCCTTAGTTCTAGGTTGCTTCTCTCTTTGGTTAGTTTCCATCCGTTGCTTCTTGTCCTGCCTTCAGGCGAGGAATGCCTGGCTGAGGAATTCTGGGAGTTGAAGTCCACAAGTCATAAAAGGGCCAAGTTTGAAGACCCTTGAATTCAATCAATCCATCCATGGCTGCTGACCAGGGGTAGGCAACCTTGGCTCTTTTCTGATTCGTGGACTTCAGCTCCCTGAATTCCTGAGCCAGCCATGCTGAGGGGAAAAGGAGAGCTTTTCAAGCTGAGCCATGCTGGCTCAGGAATTCTGGGAGTTGAAGTCCACGAGTCAGAAAAGAGCCAAGGTTGCTTACCCCTGCTATGGACCAACAGTGTGGATGGACTCAGTCTCCCAAATCCAATATCTGGGAGAACAGCTAGGTCTTCAAAAGGTGAACAGAATTAGGAGTAACCCAACCATGGATGGTAAGGTGTTCCAGAAGGCAGCCCAACTATTGGAAAGGCTCATTTCCTGGATCCCACTGACAGATGAGACCCATAGTAAAGCTCTCCTACCCCACCTAATGAACAGATAGAATCAATGTCAGTAGGACAGTCCTTCAGATACCTGGTCCTATGCCCCATAAGGTTTTATAGATAATAAATTCAATTCCACCTGAAACCTGTACTGTACTAGCTGCTCATTAATGGTTTTTCATTCAATGGCATTTTGGGGACATAACAAAGATTCAGTCCTGCACTCTATAATTTTCAATTTTTTTTAACTTAAGATTTTTATGAAGAAGAGGTTGAAAGGATCATCAAATGTGCAGATGATATAAAACAGTTGGAAGGCTAATGTCTTAAGACAAATAAAACTTCCAAAAAACTCATGGTAGGTTAAAGGAACGGGCTGGAAATAACAGAACAAAACGTAACATTTATCAGTTTGGTTTCTAAGTTAATTATCATCCTGTTTGCTAAGAAACTTTAATTAAGAAATAGAAACGAGCATATAAACGAATGGGGAATATCTGGTTTGCTAAAATTACTTTGGAAATGTATCTCAGACTAGCATTGATTGTAAATAAGTCAACAGTGTAGGATGGCCACACAATAGGAAAATGTAACTGTAAGCTCCATCAACAGAAGCACAATTTCTAATTGTTGCATTTTATTTCATTTTGGTCAAACCACACATGAAGTATTGTGTCTGGTTGTGAGTGCCACACCTAAGAAGGATTCAACAAAAGAGGAAGCCTCTCTTTTCTTCTACAGATTTTCTTAAATTGCTAGGCAGAGAAGCTATTTTTGAAATGTTTCTAGGGCTGGAGATGAGAGGTAACTGACAGTTTTGTATGTAAACGATGCTGTTCTGCAGGTATGCTATTTGATAGCAGCTGTACTCACTACTGCTAGTAACAAATGCATTTATCATGAACCTGTAAGTAAATTTACAGTTAAGTATAACGATTTAATATCTTTACTGTTTTATGCCTTTTTTAGTTTTGCGTGTGGACCAGAGTCCACTGGAGTTGGGTGGCCAAAACTCTGAATGAATGAGCCAATAAATAAATAATGCATTGGATAGATAGATGATAGAAGATAGATGGATGGATGGATAGATAGATAGATAGATAGATAGATAGATAGATAGATAGATAGATAGATGTGAAAGGAATAGATTATTAATCAGAAATTTCTAATGAATTTAAAGGTCTGTAGAAGCCACCTGAAAGTCATAAACTCAAACAAGTTAACTATATACAAATAAGAAAAGCAGAAGTTGCTAGATAACTGAAACCGCAACTAGAAGAAACACAAAAACTGAGGATCAGGTTTAGAGCTGAAGGTAGCAAAGGTATAACCGCAAACAAATATAGAGTTAATTACAAGAACTGAGCTTTTTTTTTCAAAATTTTATTTATTATACAATTTAAAAAAACATTGGATATAACGTGACATTCCAGTATATACATTCTTATCAAATTATTCCACATTTTACAATCGATTCTTCATCTCTGAATATACATCTAAATTTTATATACAATACTTATTCTAAAATTACATATATTTCTATCTTAACGCTAGCCTATAATCCCAACCGTCCTCCTTGAATCCCTCCAGCAGTAAAATTTATCCCAGGTTTCAAAATAAACTGATCCACATTTGTCTTTCAATACCATTGTGAGCTTGTCCATTTCTGCACATGATAACATTTTATATAGTGTCTCTTCCTCTGTGGGAATTTCTTTGCTCTTCCATTTTTGCGCGAACGCAAGCCTAGCTGCAGTCAAAACATGTAACAGCAAATAGATTGTTCTCTTATTGTATTTCTCCGTAGTTATCCCCAACAGAAAAAGTTCAGGTTTTAACTCTAAGTCCAACATTAATATATCTTTCAGCCATCTTCGTATCCTATTCCAATACTCACAGGACTTTGGGCATTCCCACCACGTATGGTAATATGATCCTATTGCTGTTTTACATTTCCATCATAAAGGTGAGATATTTGGACCCATTTTGGCTAACCTTACGGGTGGGAAGTGCCATCTATAAAACATCTTGTAGAGCAGTGGTTCTCAACCTTTCTAATGCCGCGACCCCATAATACAGTTCCCCATGTTGTGGTGACCCCCAATCACTTATACATCATCAGGTGCCAGGGGCGTGGCCAAAGAAAAGGGGAAAAAATGGCGGACAGCCTTGTTTGGCGACCCCCGTGAAATGGTCATTCGACCCCAAATGGGGTCCCGACCCACAGGTTGAGAACCACTGTTGTAGAGGTTTTCCTTGTACGAGGTAGCTAGAGTGAGTTTCCTATTTCTTTCTCACAGGTCTTGCCAAATATGCAGGTCGATACTGAAACCAAAATCTCTACTCCAAATTAGCATAGTCTCCTTGACCTGTTCTTCATACATTGCCTGATCTAAAAGAAAGTGATATATTTTTTAATCATTTTATCACAAGAATTGAGCTTTGTTGATAGAAAATTAGATGGTGATAGATAGGATGTGCACAAAGGGGCTTCTTGGAACACGGGAGGGACACTGGATTTAGGTGGACCGGATAGTTTATCGGATGATTAGGGAAGGGTCGTGGAGTGTGATAGGGGAGGGGGGGAATCTGCGCCAGGGGTAGGATATAAAAATGTGTCAATCAGCTCTTTAAGGTGTGGCTGGACTCCTACGTGTGTCTCAGCTCACCAAGCCTTTGCAAATGCTTCTTTTTAAATAAAACTTTGTTGCTGGAATTCCAATTGAGTTTGTTTGTTTTGGGATCTTGAGCCATGTTCCAAACGGATGGACGGATGGATGGATGGATGGGAGGAAGGAAGGAAAAGGAGAAAGGACAAAGCCTTTTAGAATAGAATAGAATAGAATAGAATAGAATAGAATAGAATAGAATAGAATAGAATAGAATAGAATAGAATAGACTAGACTAGAATAGAATAGAATAGAATAGGAGCTGGAAGGGACCCTGGAGGTCTTCTAGTCCAGCCCCCTGCTCAAGCAGGAGAACCTACACCATCTCGGACAGGTGATTGTCTAGTCTTTTCTTAAAAATCTCCAGTGATGGAGCGTCCACGATTTCTGGGGGTAAGCTGTTCCACTGTCAGGAAGTTTCTCCTTAATTCCAGGTTGCTTCTCTCCTTGATCAGTTTCCAACCATTGTTTCTCGTCCTTCCCTCTGGTGCTCTGGTGAAGAACCTGACCCCTTCTGCCCTGTGGCTGCCCCTCACAAACTGAAATACTGCTATCGTATCTCCCCTAAGAGAAGGAGGGACGGAGGAAGGAAGGAAGGAAAGAAAGAAGGAAGGAAGGAAGGAAGGAAGGAGGGAGGGAGGAAGGAAGGAAGGAAAAGGAGAGAGGAAAGGAGGAAGAGGAGAGAAGGAAGGAAGGAAAAGGAGAGAGGAAAGGAGGAAGAGGAGAGAAAGAATGAATGAAGGAAGGAAGGAAGGAAGGAAAGGAGGAAGAGGAGCGGAAGGAACGAAAAGGAGAAAGGAGGAAGAGGAAAGAAGGCAGGGAGGAAAGAAGGAAGGAAAAGGAGAGAGGAAAGGAGGAAGAGGAGAGAAAGGAGAGAAGGAAGGAAGAAAGGAAAAGGAGAGAGGAAGGGAGGAAAAGGAGAGAAGAAACAAAGGAAGGAAAAGGAGAGAGGAAAGGAGGAAGAGGAGAGAAGGAAGGAAGGAACAAAAAGGAGAAAGGAGGAAGAGGAAAGAAGGCAGGGAGGAAAAGGAGAGAGGAATGGAGGAAGAGGAGAGAAGGAAGGAAGGAAAAGGAGAGAGGAAAGGAGGAAGAGGAGAGAAAGAAGGAAGGAAGGAAGGAAGGAAGGAAAAGGAGAGAGGAAAGGAGGAAGAGGAGAGAAAGGAGAGAAGGAAAGAAGGAAGGAAAAGGAGAGAGGAAGGGAGGAAAAGGAGAGAAGAAACAAAGGAAGGAAAAGGAGAGAGGAAAGGAGGAAGAGGAGAGAAAGAAGGAAGGAAGGAAGGAAGGAAGGAAGGAAGGAAGGAAAAGGAGAGGAAATGAGGAAGAGGAGAGAAAGAAGGAAGGAAGGAAGGAAGGAAGGAAAGAAAAGGAGAGAGGAAAGGAGGAAGAGGAAAGAAGGAAGGAAGGAACGAAAAGGAGAGAGGAAAGGAGGAAGAGGAAAGAAGGAGAGAAAGAAGGAAAGAAAGAAAAGGAGAGAGGAAAGGAGGAAAAGGAGAGAAGGAAGGAAGCACAAGCATGCACTGGCTGGAAGGCTCAAGGCGTAAGTCTGCCCTCAGATCGGCACAGGAGGGTCGGTTCCGGTGGCCTCCAGATCCGACCTCCACGAAGCCCCTCAGAAGCCGTGGGGAGCCCAGCGGAGCGGCTCACCTCGGCCAACCTCCTGCTCCCTCCTCCTCCTCCTCCTCCTCCGCTCCGTCCCGCCGGCCAGGAGAGGGCGGCCGCGTAGCCTCTCCGCGCTGCTGCCGCCGCCGCCGCCGCCATTGAAGCGCCGAGGGGCCGCGGGCGAAGGGCGAAGGGAGCGGAGCCGCCGGGCCTGTGCGCGCCGAAGAGCGGGACTAGTTCCGTCCCGTCGCCCCGCTCGCAGCAGCAGCAGCAGCAACCCGGCCGCCGCGCGCGCGCGCGCGCCCCGTCCGGACCTTCCCCGGCAGACGGTGCGCAGCAGCCGGGGAGGCGCCGCCGGGCCCGCTCGCCCCGGCCTCCCGACGCTTCCGGTACGCTTGTTGGGCTCCCTGGGGCGCGCCCGGGGCCGGTCGAAGCCGCAGGTGGCTGAGCCGGGCTGTCACGCCGCCGGTCCGCCTCGCTGGGGTCCTGCGGCGGCCGGGAGCGGCGCACAGCGGAGCCCGGCCGGGGCAGTTGCAGCGCCCCGTGGCTGCCAAACTTTAGAACAGAAACGAAGAGAGCAGGACTGGGGCCTTGGAGGTCTTCTAGTCCAGCCCCCTGCTCAAGCTGGAGAACCTGCACTATTATTCCAGACAAGTGACTGTCCAGTCTCTTCTTAAAAACCTCCAGTGATGAAGCACCTCCTATAACTTCTGGTGGCAAGCTGTTCCACTGGTTAATTCTCCTTCCTAACAGGAAGCATCTTCATTCCCCTGTTGCTGCTTGTCTATGGAGATTCTCAGGCATCCAGGTCAAGTTGCTTTTTCAAAAGGCAACTGGATTTAGTCCAGTTCAACTCAGATTTAAGGGGACAGTCACTGAAACGTCAGCCAGCAGTGTGCTGCAGCTGCCTAAAAAAAGCCAGGGCAGTCCTAGGCTGCATTAAGGGATAGAATCAAGATGATATGAAGTGTTAATACCGCTTTATAAGGCCTTGGTAAGGCCATACTTGGAATATTGCATCCAATTTTAGTTGCCACGATGTAAAAAAGATGTTGAGACTCTAGAAAGAATGCAGAGAAGAACAAGAAAGATGATTAGGGGACTGGAGGCTACAACATATAAGGAACGGCTGCTGGAATTGGGCATCTCTAGTCTAATGAAGAGAAGGACAAAGGGGGACATGATAGCAGTGTTCCAATATCTCAGGGGCTGCCACAAAGAAGAAGAGGGTGAAACTATTCTCCAAAGCACCAGAAAACAGGACAAGAAACAATGGATGGAAACTAAACTGCCTAACAGTGAAGACAATCAACCAGTGGAACAGCTTTGCCTCCAGAAATCGTGGGCGCTCCATCACTGGAGGTTTTTAAGAAGAGACTGGACAAGCACTTGTCTGAGATGGTATAGTTTCTCCTGCTTGACCAGGGGGCTGGACTAGAAGATCTCCAAGGTCCCTTACAACTCTATTCTATTCTAATCAAGGAGAGAAGCAGGAGAAATTTCCTGACAGTGAGTACAATTAACCAGTGGAAGGCCTTGCCTCTAGAAGTTGTGGGTGCTCCAACACTGGAGGATTTTAAGAAGAAATTGGACAACAATTTGTCTGACATGGTATAGGGTCTCCTGCCTGAGCAGCGGGTTAGACTAGAAGACCTCCAAGCTCCCTTCCAGCTCTGTTATTCTATTGTTTTTCCTTGAAGATGTTTCACTTCTCGTGCAAGAAGCTTCTTCAGCTGATCAGAGCATTGGGGCTCCCAATTGCTGCATTTGCCCCAGCAAAGCCGTGTCGGGATCTGAGGCCATTTGGATGAATGTGCTGCAAAACTCTTGGCCAGCCATGGTTTGCATCTCAGTTCTTTGAAGTGAGCTCCAAACCATAATAGGTTGTATGTAGGTTTGGCAGAAGGTATGGTGCAGGAGTAGGCCACCTTAGCTCTTTCGTGACTCGTGGACTTCAACTCCCAGAATTCCTGAGCCAGCCATGCTCAGGGGAAAGGGAGAGGTTTCCAAGCTGAGCCAGGCTGGCTCAGGAATTCTGGGAGTTGACGTCCACAAGTCATGAGGGGGGCCATAGTTCCCTCATGCTGGCTCAGGAATTCTGGGAGTTGAAGTCCACGAGTCATAAAAGAGCCAAGGTGGCCTAGCCCTGGTGTGGTGTATTTCTGGCCACCGTGGCATATAAACCTGGCTTTGTGGCTTAGAGTATTGCACATATTATCCAACTGTGGTTTATCTCAAGCCATGATTTGACATGGCTTGGATTCCTGCGGTGTTTCTCAAGCTGACCGACTTGAAAAGCGTGCTGGCTGGGGAATTCTGGGAGTTGAGGTCCACACCTCTTAAAGTTGCGAGGTTAAGAAATATCGGTATATACAGTATAGTTTTAAGGTACAGGTTGTCTTTAACTTACGACCACAGAACTTCCATCACTAAGCAAGGTGATTGTTAAATGAGTCACATCCAGTTGTGCTATCTTTTTTGCTGAGGTTATTAACTGAACCTGGCTTTGCCCCATTGATGTGGCTTGTTTTATTTATTGGGTATCCTGCCTTTATTATTCTTACAAATCACTAAAGGAGGCGAACATATCCAGCACATCTTCCTCCTCCTGTTTTCCCCACAACACCAACCCTGTGAGGTGGGCCGGGCTGAGAGAAAGTCTGACTGGCCCAAAGTCACCCAGCTGGCTTTCATGGCCAAGGCGGGACTAGAACTCACCATCTCCTGTTTCCTAGCCTGGTGCCTTAACTACTAGACCAGAGGTCCCCAACCTTTTGGGCACCAGGGACCGGTTCCGTGGAGAGAGGTTTTTCCACAGACCAGAGTGTGTGTGGTTTTGTGTGTTGCCTGCATCCTGCAAATGGGGCTTTGCTTGTTTGTGTGGACCAGTTGCTGGCGTGCCAGGGCCCGGTACCAGTCCACGGACGGGGGGGATTGGGGACCCCTGCACTAGACCAAACTGAGTCTCTTGTTGAAAGTGGGCTAAGAAAATCTGCAAATGACCATCATGTCACCCAGGGACACTTCAACCCACATAAATACCGTATTTTCCGGCGTATAAGGCGCCCCGGCGTATAAGACGACCCCCGACTTCGGCGCCGAGTTGCATGCCTAGAAAGTCATCTTATACGCTGGAAACTACCGTAATTTCCGCTGTATAAGACGACTCGGCGTATAAGACGACCCCCGACTTCGGTGCCGATTTCAACACTTCAGAAAGTTGTCTTATATGCCGGAAAATACGGTACATGCCAGTTGCCAACCACCTGAATTTTCATCATGTGACGGTGGGGCCACTGCAACACACTTATAAAGGCCCAGTTGTAAGTCATATTTTTCAGTGCTGTTGTAACTTTGGTCACTAAACAAACCATTGTAAGTCAAGGACTACCTGCACGCAAAGGTTAGCCCTAAATTGACAACGGGGGCGGGGGGGGGGAAAGAAACCTGCATTTTGTTGCTACCGAGAAGCTTGGAAGCTGGTGATTGATTGATTATAGTTAGTTCTCAACTGAGCCCAAAATTTCTGTTGCTAAACGAGACGGTCGTGAGTTTTGCTTCATTTTACGACCTTTCTTGAAGTCGTTAAGTGGATCACTGCAGTTGTTAAGTTAGTAACGTAGTTGTTAAGTGAATCTGGCTTCCACCGTGATTTTGCTTGCTGGAAGGTCGCAAAAGGGGATCCCATGACCCCGGGAAGCTGCAACTGTCGTAAGTGTGAGTCAGTCTGAATTTTGATCATGTGACCACAGGGAAGCTGCAGTGGTGGTAAGTATAAAAGCGGTCATAAGTCACCTTTTCAGTGCCGACGTAACTCTGAACCGTCCCTAAACGAACCAACGACCTACAAACCTGCCATCAGGTTTGCAAATAAGGCAGTCCTCGACTTACAACGGTTTGTTTAGTGACCGTTGCAGCATCCCCCATGGTCACATGTTCAAAATCGTAAAATGGGGCAAAGCTCATTGAACAACCACTTTGCCTAGCAATGGAAACTTTGGGCTGGTAGGGCTAGATCCGCGGCACCGTTCGGAAGATCCCAAGTGAGCCCGTTTCCCTTCAATCTTGCTTTCCAGAAAACCTGTGGCTAAATCACAGTTTGCAAGGATTGAGCAAAGCAGGGAAGTGATGAAACGGCAAGGATCCACCGGGTCCCCTCAGGGACGGCGGGAAGAGGCCGAGACCTTGAGCTGTGCCGTTCGGCTGGAATACATGGCGGATGGTTTCCAAGGGGACGGATCCCAGGAAGGCCAAAGGGAGACTTGCAAGACGATGCAACAGCGCTGGGAAACCCAGTGGCAGGAGTTCCTGAGGACACTTCAGCCCAGTCAACCAGGGGTAATAGATCCCGTCCCGTCGGAAGCCTCCCCCTGGGAGGACCCCAAGGCCTTCCTGGCCTCCTTCGAGCAGGTGGCCCAAGCCTGCCGTTGGCCCCGAGCAGAGTGGGCGGCCCGTCTTCTCCCCGCTTTGAGCGGAGAAGCTGAGGAGGCTTTCCAAAGCTTGGAACCCAGAGATGGGGAAGACTATGCCAAAGTGAAGGCCGCCATTTTGAGAGAGGAAGCCATCAAGATGGAGGCGCAACGGCAACACTTCAGACAGTTCTGCTGCCAGGAGACGGAAGACCCCCGGAGGATCCACAGCCAGCTCCAGGAGCTTTGCCACCAGTGGTTGAGGCCGGAGAGACGCACCAAGGAGCAGATCCTGGAGCTGCTGATCCTGGAGCAGTTCCTTGCCAGCCTCCCATTGGATCTCCAGAGCTGGATCCGGGCAGGAGGACCAGACACCTGTTCCCAGGCAGTGGCACTGATGGAGGAGTTCCTGTTGAACCAGCAGGAGGACGAAACAAGGAAATGGCAGGTCAGTTTTCATTTCGGGAGTTGTGTTACGACGGCAGAGTTGGACTTATAGGTAGTCCTCAACTTACGGCCACAACTGAGCCCAAATTTTCCGTCGCTAAACAAGGCACTTGTTAACTGAGCCCTCCCCATTTTACAGCCTTTTTTCCCTCATGGTTGTTAAGTGAATCACTACAGTTGTTAAGAGAAGCATGCAGTTGTTAAGGGAACTTTGCAGTTGTTAAGTGAACCCGTGGACTTTGCTGGTCAGAAGCTCCTTAGGAAGGTTCCAAAGGACCCCAGGAGGCTGTAACCCAGTGGTTCTCAATCTTTTTAATGCCGCGACCCCCAACCGGTCGTAAGTCGAGGACTCTCAACCGGTTGTAAGTCGAGGACTACCCAACTGGTGCAGCACCGTTTGCAGAATGGGACTTTTGGCGGGCTCAGCAGGGCAGAGACAGCCTGGACAATTCCTATTGGCTTTTGAAAGCCAATAGAATTAGACTCTATTCAAGAGAGTCTATTCTATTGGCTTTCAAAAGCCAATAGAATAAAAGGGAGTAGCACAGCTAAGGAAAAGGGGAAAAAAATGGCGGACTGCGTTGTTTGGCGACCCCCGTGAAATGGTCGTTCGACCCCAAATGGGGTCCCGACCCACAGGTTGAGAACCACTGCTGTAACCATTGTGAACACATCCCTGGTTCCCAGCACTCGAAGTTTCCTCGCATGACTGTGGGGGTGCTGCAATGGTCATAAATGTGAGAATTTGCCATTAGTCACTTTTTTTCAGAGCCCTTATAGCGTTGAACAGTCATTAAACAAATGATGGTTCCTCCCTCTTTCTGTGAAGTTTTTGCATGTTGCATGATTAGGGGACTGGAGGCTAGAACATATGAGGAACGGTTGCTGAAATTGGGTATGTCTAGTTTAATGAAGAGAAGGACAAGGGGGGACAGGATAGCAATGTTCCAATATCTCAGGGGCTGCCCCAAAGAAGAAGGAGTCAGGCTATTCTCCAAAGCGCCTGAAGGCAGGACAAGAAGCAACTGATGGAAACTGATCAAGGAGAGAAGCAACCTAGAACTAAGGAGAAACTTCCTGACAGCTAGAACAATTAACCAGTGGAACAACCTGCCTCCAGAAGCTGTGAATGCTCCAACACTGGAAGTTTTTAAGAAGAGACTGGACAGCCATTTGTCCAAAATGGTATAGAGTTTCCTGCCTGAGCAGGGGGTTGGACATGATGACCTCCAAGGTCCCTTCCAACATTATTAATATTAATATTAATAATGTTATTACTACTACTACTATTTGTTCACGATGACAGCAAAGCTGAGAAATTAGACATACCCAAATTATTCCATTGATTTTGTTAAAAAAATTAATACATCAAAATACAGTTTTTGAAAAACATTGAAATCACCATAATCTGAAAATCAACCGTAGATGGAAATAACTATCAAATTAATTTGGGATTTTTTTCCCCCTCATGTTGACCATTATAAAAAAGTATGGATTTTTCCACAATGGCAGTCTAAACTTATTTTGCAATATCATTGATTCGACCTACCCAGCAGTACTGGATTAGCAAAGACATTCTTAATTAAAATGAAAATTAAATTTTTTTTAGATTGTGCAGAAATGGCTAGATTGACATTGAAAATGAAAGAGAAAGACGATTCAGTATATTTTTAGAACATGGGACTCCTTTTATCAATAGGTGTGTGTTTATAGACACACACACACACACACACACACACACAAAAGAATTTTTGTAAAAAGGAATACTGGAAATAATGCTATGAGAGACCACGGATTCTAGAGTCTGGAGTCCTCTCGTGGTGGGTGAAGGTACTGCTAGTGGATCCTGGAATAAGGTATAATAAAAATCCTAATTAAGCCACACAGACATAAAACGGAAAACCACGTGACCAATGCTGACTTACAACAGCAGTTCTGGCAATTCCAATTGCTGTCATTAAGCGAATTCCTTGTAGTCAGTAAGTGAGACCTCGCGACTGCGATGTGCGAATCCCTGCCAGCTTCCCCACTGATTTTGCATCTGGGAAAATCAGCAGCAAAGGTTGCCAATGGCAATCACATGATGGTGGGGATGCTGCAACGGCCGTAACTTTGAGGACCGGTCGTGCATTCCACTCGTTCAGCTCCGTCATAACGTCAAAGGGGCATTGAACAAGTGGTCATTAACTGGGGACCTCTTGTAAAATTAATTTGTTCAGAACATCCCATTCCCCAAAGCCTTGACAGATTTCAGGGACAACTCAGATCTGGTGAAATTCAATGAAAGTTGGAGCCAAGGTGGCGAGCAGTTAGGGGGCAGTACTGCAGGCCACTTTAGCTGACTGTGTTCAGCAGGTCAGCGGTTCAAATCTCACCGGCTCAAGGTTGAGTCAGCCTTCCATCCTTCCGAGGTAGGTAAAATGAGGACCCAGATTGTTGGGGGCAATGTAAATATATATATATTTACGGTGTACACAAATATATATATATACACACACACACACATTGCTTACTGGTGTACACCGCTTAGAGAGTGCTTGCACTTAAAGCGGTATATAAGTCTCACAAATAAATATATAAAATAAATAAATAAACCTTTTTTTAAAAAATAAATAAATCTGTACATAATTTTGGGGTTCCACGAACAGCAGCAGGCGTTCCCTGAAAGCCAAGTCGCAGGGCGCATTTGCCAGGGGACCCCGCAAATCCTGCTCATTCCTGGCTTTTATAACAGGCCCCGATAGTTTTCAATAAAGTAGCGATTTGCTTAAAAGTTGGGAGCCAACAAAATTGGGGTTCAGCGGTGCAGACAAGTCCGTTGTCTTTTTTTTTTAATGTCCTCCCCCCCCCGTCCCTTGTTTTTCCGATCACTGCAGGAGGTGTGCCTAGGTTCTCTAGAAGTGGAGGAGGAAGAGGATTTGGACCCTGGAGACGGGCAGATCTACAAAGAAGACGAGCTGAACAGCAGTGGGGAGACCAGTTTGCTAGGTAAAGATCACTACGCGGAGGTCTTTGGACGAGTGTTTCTCAACTGTGGCAACTTGAAGATGGATGGACTTCAACTCCCAGACTTCCTCAGCCAGCAGTGCTCGGGGCTGGGGGCATAGAGAGGGCCAGTTGCAGCGGTTCTTAGTTGTGTACGTACAGCTGTACAGGTTGTGTAGAGCTCAAGTGGTAGCGTTTCCTGTCTAGTCAACCAAGGAATGAATAGAATGTCTGATTTTGCTTTCTAAAATTCCCTTCCATCCTTCACAGACAGTGGAATTAAATGCCCGAGTCATGCTAGTTCGTTGCTTTCTCTGGAAGGACCAGAAATGAGTGAAACCGAACAAAATGAAGTAGGTGATCTTTATCTGTCTGTCTGTCTCTCTCATCTCTCATCTCTCTCTCTCATCTCTCTCTCATCTTTCTTTCTCTCTCATCTTTCTCTCTCCATCCGTCCATTCCATCCATCCATCCATCCATCCATCCATCCATCCATCCATCCATCCATCTATCTATCATATCTGTCTGTCTGCCCACAGGGAAAAAATGTCAATAAAGGCTATCTGTCTGTCTGTCTGTCTGTCTGTCTGTCTATCTATCTATCTATCTATCTATCTATCTATCTATCTATCTATCTATCTATCTATCTATCTATGTATCATGTCTGTCTGTCTGTCTGTCTGTCTGCCCACAGGAAAAAATGTCAATAAAGTCTGTCTGTCTGTCTGTCTGTCTGTCTGTCTATCTATCTATCTATCTATCTATCTATCTATCATCTGTCTGTCTGTCTGTCTGTCTGTCTGCCCACAGGGGAAAAAATGTCAATAAAGGCTATTTATCTATCTATCTATCTATCTATCTATCTATCTATCTATCTATCTATCTATCGTCTGTCTGCCCACAGGGGAAAAAATGTCAATAAAGGCTATCTATCTATCTATCTATCTATCTATCTATCTATCTATCTATCTATCTATCTATCTATCTATCTACCTACCTACCTATCTATCATGTCTGTCTGTCTGTCTCTGTCTATCTATCTATCTATCTATCTATCATCGTCTGTCTGCCCACGGGAAAAAATGTCAATAAAGTCTATCTGTCTGTCTATCTGTCTGTCTATCTATCTATCTATCTATCTATCTATCTATCTATCTATCTATCTATCGTCTGTCTGCCCACAGGGGAAAAAATGTCAATAAAGGCTATCTATCTATCTATCTATCTATCTATCTATCTATCTATCTATCTATCTATCTATCTATCTACCTACCTACCTATCATGTCTGTCTGTCTGTCTCTGTCTGTCTATCTATCTATCTATCTATCTATCATCTATCTGTCTGTCTGTCTGTCTATCTATCTATCTATCATCTGTCTGTCTGTCTGTCTATCTATCTATCTATCTATCTATCTATCTATCTATCAAATTTATTGGCCACTCATCTTACCGCAGTGTAACTTTGGCCGGCTTCCGTGTTTTAATGCATTAATTGTGCTAGACCAAAGAGAAGGCATTTTCTCTGATGACCCTCTGCACATTTTTTGGTGTCTGTCTTTGTAAACATGCAATAATTTGGTGGTGGAATGTTGTTTGCAGGGTTCTGAGTTCAAACTATCTTTGTTGGATGATCTCAGCTCTGAAAAAAAACACCCCAGTGGTCTTGAATTTATTCAGAGTTGCAGTGGATATTGAACATGTGTTCGTGTGTCTCTGTGTGAGAAGCACACACGGACACAGAGAGCAAAGGAAGCGGCAGCTATCTGCAGCACACAGCATCTGTTAGAGCCGTTAGGTTAAGTGATGGCTATCTCCTTGTTTGTAGGGGTCAGTGAGCCTCCAAAAGACAGGTGTTCCTCTGCAGACCATGGAGCAGGACTTGATCCAGCCAGGACCACGGACTATATTCTGGCAAGTCCTGCAGGAGGAAAACGGCAACATGGATTGTCTGGGTAGGTGCTTGTGCGCGCACTGAACGTCAGCTCAGGTGGCTGCGTCCTTGCAACCAGGGAAGATACAAGTGCAAAAAAGCTGAGGGAACTGTCAAAAGTGATCAAAACCAAAGACTTCAAAATATCCCCTTTCTTGTTCCTTCAGGGGTCAAGAACAGAAACTGGATCAAAATGGAAACTTCTTTGTGTGGAGGAAGCGATCCAGAGGAGACATCCAGGACAGCGGCCCAGATAAACACAGAGAATGTGTCAATGGAGGATGACGTGCAAAAGGAAGGATGTGAGTCAATTAGCGGATAGGGAGGAGAACCTCTAGAACAGATATGTCAAACACAAGGCCCGGGGGCCGGATGCGGCCGGCGAAGTGGTTTCATGTGGCCCACGAAGCCATCCTGGAAACAGTGAGGGAACGGCCCCCGCTGCCTTGGCCCTGGCCCAGGCCGGCCGGGAGCCAATGTACAATTTTGTGGTGGCCATCTATGCTGAAACACATTCAGTCTTAGCTCCACAAGGCGGTCTGGAAACAGCGAGGAACCAGCCCCTGCTGTGTTGGCCCCGCCCCCTGGGTGCATGCTGGGGAGGTGTCGCCCTTTGTGAGGAATGAAGAAATGCACCATCGCCTAGAAGTGGCCAGCAAATGGCCCTCGCCTACTTCACATATCCAGCTTGATGGGCTCTGCCCTGGTCCCACCCCTTTCTGCCAGAGACCCTCAGATCTGTCCCACTCCTGTCCTTGACACCAATGATGTAGAGCTGGCCATGCCCACCCAGTAGGCCACACCCACTCCACCCACACCCACCCAGTAGGCCGCACCCACCCTGGCCACACACCCCCAGGGCAACCGCAATGCTGATGCGGCCCTCAATGAAATTGAGTTTGACAGCCCTGGGATAGAATAATAATAGAATAGAATAGAATAATAATGGAATGGAATGGAATGGAATGGAATGGAATGGAATGGAATGGAATAGAATAGAATAGAATAGAATAGAATAGAATAGAATAGAATAGAATAGAATAGAATAGAATAGAATAGAATTAGAATAGAATTAGAATAGAATAGAGCAGAATGCAATGCAATGCAATACAATACAATACAATATAATACAATATAATAATAATAATAGTAGTAAAGTTGGAAGGGACCTTGGAGGTCATCTAGTCCAACCCCCTGGTCAGGCAGGAAACCCTATACCATTTCGGACAAATGGCTGTCCAGTCTCTTCTTAAAAACTTCCAGTGTTGGAGCATTCACCGCTTCTGGAGGCAGGTTGTTCCACTGGTTAATTGTTCTAACTGTCAGGAGGTTTCTCCTTAGTTCTAGGTTCCTTCTCTCCTTGATTAGTTTCCATCCGTTGCTTCTTGTCCTGCCTTCAGGCGCTTTGGAGAATAGCTTGACTTCCTCTTCTCTGGGGCAGCCCCTGAGATATTAGAACACTGCTATCATGTCCCCCCCCCCCATTTTGCTTAACAATCATCCTGACCTGCAACTGATAGGCAGGATCCATTGTGGTTGCTACTTGAGGGCTATCACCAGATGGATTTGTAGCTGGCTGTCAAACCGTACTCAGCGAGTAGTCCTCAGTGGTACTACATCCACATGGAGAGAAGTACGCAGTGGGGTAACACAAGGCTCCGTCTTCGGCCCAGTATCTCTTTAATATCTTCATCAATGACTTGGATGAGGTCATCAAATTTGCAGGTGATACTAAACTGGCAGGAATAGCCAACACCCCAGAAGATAAACTCAGGATCCAAAAAGATCTTGACAGACTTGAACTATGGGTCTTTCCCAACAAAACGAATCGTAATGTGGAAAAAAGCAAAGTTTTATATTTAGGCAGGAAAAACCAAAGGTATAAGTACAGATTAGGCGAGACCTGGCTCAAAAACGGTAACTGTGAGAGGGACCTTTGCCCAGGTTCGCATGGTGCACCAGTTGCGGCCTTATTTGGACCGAGAGGTTTTACTCACAGTCACTCATGCCCTTGTCACCTCAAGACTGGATTACTGTAATGCGCTCTACATGGGGCTACCCTTGAAGAGCGTTCGGAGGCTGCAGTTGGTTCAGAATGCAGCCGCAAGAGTGATTGTGGGCGCGCCAAGGTACGCCCACGTGTCACCTATCCTCCGCGAGCTGCACTGGCTTCCTGTGGGTCTCCGGACGCAATTCAAGGTGTTGGTTATCACCTTTAAAGCCCTTCATGGCATAGGGCCAGGTTACTTACGGGACCGCATTCTGCCGCACAGCTCCCAGAGACCGGTGAGGTCCCATAGATTGGGCCTCCTTCAGGTCCCGTCGGCCAGACAATGTCGGCTGGCGGGCCCTCGGGGAAGGGCCTTTTCTGTGGAGGCTCCGACCTGGTGGAATCAACTTCCCCCCGAGGTTCGAACTACTCCCACCCTGCCGGCCTTTATGAAAGCCGTTAAAACTCTCCTGTTCCGGCAGGCCTGGGGCTGATGTCCCCGGGGGGGGGGCGGGATATGATCGGACTCGCGGTATGATTGTATTATTTTATTGTTTTATTGTTAGATGATTGTTTTAATTTTGTACGCTACCCTGAGTCCTTTGGGATTGGGCGGCATATAAATAAAATTAATTAATTAAATAAATAAATAAATAGTTTACAAAGAAAAATAAAACCCAGAAAGTCGAGTTACCTTTTGAAAAACATCTTTGGGACAACCATGACCTGGATCAGTGATGGCGAACCTTTTAGAGACCGAGTGCCCAAAAACTGGCCCCGCCCCCGCTCCACCCCCCTATCCTCCGCCCTGCCTGCCCACAGGGCCACTCCCTGCCTCCAGGGCCCGCCGCAGATCGCCCAGGCAGCCCAGCAGCGCTATGGCGGTCACGCCCTCTGCCCGCGCCCTGCAGCATCAACTGTGCGCGATGGGGCATGAGGGCAGAGTCTTGTCTACGCTTCCTGGCTGCCACGTCCTTGGCTGCGCTGCTCCGTGTGGGCCACACTCAGGGGCGACTCTCCTTCAGGGGGGCTGCTGGAGAGGAGGGGGTCGCAGGGGGAGGCGAGGCTGGGGCAACGGCACGTGTGCCCACAGAGAGGGCTCTGAGTGCCGCCTCTGGCACCCGTGCCATAGGTTCGCCACTACTGACCTGGATGATTGAGGATCTCTTTAGATCAGTGTTTCTCAATCTTGACAATTTTAAGGCATGTGGACTTCAACTTCCAGAATTCCACAGCCAGCATTGCTGGCTGTGGAATTCTGGGAGTTGAAGTCCACATGCCTTAAAATTGTCAAGGTTGAGAAACACTGCTTTAGATAGTCCTCTTTCTTCTTTCTTCAGGTGACCGGAGAAGTTGGATCAAGATGGAAAATTCTCAGCGGGGGGAGACGGTGCTGGAAGAAACACCGAGGACTTTAGCAGACAATTCCCAGTGGACCTTTCCTGCCTCCTCTAATGTTCATGGGCTGAGGTGGGAATTCCCGCTGGATAAGACGTCAACAAAGGGGAAGAATGAATGGTGTGACCTCTCAGATGATCTTACCATGGCTGTGGAGAAGAATCACACTGTGCAGACTGAAGGGGCAAAGGTCTTGCTGTCCAAGCATGGACAAAAATGTGGCTATAAATCAGGATTTGTTGAGATGCAAGGCAAATCCTGCACGTGTCCCTCTTTGGAGGAGAAGGCCCAGCAAACACGTTACTCGGATAAACATCAGAAGATCCGTTCAGCTGAGCAAGAAGCTGAAGCCTTAGAGGCGAGGAAAGAGATCCCGGGAGATGATTTGATGGGGTACCCGAAAAATCAGCCAGACGAGGAACTTCTTCAGCACTTAAAGGCTGGGAAAGACGGTAATAACCGGAAGGCGGTAAAAAGAGATCAAGGCATTCAGACGGAAGGGAAGCGGTATCAGTGCGCCCAGTGTGGAAAATTCTTTCGACACAGACAAACCTTGACAAAACACCAGAAGATCCACACGGGCGAGAAGCTGCACGAATGTCTGGCCTGTGGGAAGGGCTTCACCTCGCGAGAACCTCTGCTGAGACATCAGCGGATCCACACGGGAGAGAAACCCTACGAATGTTCCCAGTGCGGGAAATGTTTTCGGCAGAGAGTCCACTTAATGTGCCATCAAAAAACCCACACGGGAGAAAAACCCTTCAAGTGTCCCGAATGTGGGAGAAATTTTTCTCGGAGGGATAAACTGATCAGGCATCAGCGCATCCACAGAGGCCAGCGGTCGTATGCCCACACCGAACACGGGAAGAGTTTTGATCCAAAGGCGGCCGTGCTCAAACATCAGAGTGTCTTTGAAGGCCAATGACAGACTTTCGGCTTCATTCTTTTGCAGCCTACAGTAGTGGCCAAAATTGTGGACACCTTTTGGGAAAAGTGTACAGTAGAAATGCCACCTTTGGTTAAGTTTCCACCATTTTTTCTTCTAATTCCTTTATAACTGTAGCCTCGTTCACTTAATAATACTATTTTACATCGCTTTCTGGGCAACCCGTCAACTCTTTTGCACCATTGCTTTAATTTTATTACGTTTTACAAGCTCACTCAATGAAAGAACACACAAAAAACCCCAACCAACTTGATAGCCATCACATAACACACTGACAAACGTCCTCCTCTCAGCTTCAATGCATGACATCAATAACTGGATCCTACTGTGATCTGATTGGCTCGTTGCCAAAAGAAGATGACACCCGATTGGCTCTCTAAACACTCGTGCTCATTGGCTACAACCAGATGAAGGAAAGCTACCTGAGATCAACCTAAGCAAGTTGTGCTTCCTTTTTCTGGTTATTTGGCTATAACTTTTCATAGAATACAGTACAGATCATTGAACAAACTATGTTGCATTACATTCTTGATTAAATTATCTTTCCATTGATATATAATTTTAGAGTATTACTCCCCCCCAAAAAAGTGGTGTTATTAGCCATCAAACCTCAAAAATACACTTTTCCCAAAAGGTTCCCACAATTTTGGCTGCTACTGTATTTTACCAGAGGCTTTCTCCTCCAATGCCTGTCAGGGTTGGGACAAGTTCCTACAGGCGGTCCAGACGGAAAACAAAAAGCTTCACGTTATAAATTTTCAGATCGGCACAGAACTTGCCTGGCAGAACGCCACATGAACAGCTCTGTTCTTAGCATCCTGCTTTTAAAAGCAGCCCCAAACCTGACTGTAAGTCCCATCATCCTCAGCCAGCCTTTCCCGCGGTCGATGTTGGGATCCGGGTCTCCCCCTCCCCTCCCCAAAGGACCCCAGATGAGGGAGGGCCGAAGGAAAGGAGAATAATAAAAGCCATTTGAATTCTGTAAATTATAACAGAGCCTTTCTGCCTGTCCATGATAGGAGTGATGGGGTTAAAGGTGTTGAGTGTGCACAAGGAAAGCCACTGCAAAAAGTGAGAAGAGGTCAAGTGCAAAAATGAAAGGGGTTTGATGGGGGGGGGCGAGGGGGCGCTCATTTCAAAAGGCGCGCCCAAGATTGAAGAAAAGGGGCGAATGCAGAATTTAGCCAAATCAAAAAGGGAGCAGCAAAACGAACTGTAAAGTTGGAAAATGAACAATTTCAATCGGGCGATTGGTAAAGGCCTGTCAGCTAAGTCAGGGGTAGGCCACCTTGGCTCCTTTATGACTCGTGGACTTCAACTCCCAGAATTCCTGAGCCAGCATGGCTCAGCTTGGAAACCTCTCCCTTTCCCCTCAGCGTGGCTGGATCAGGAATTCTGGGAGTCGAAGTCCACGAGTCATAAAAGAGCCAGGTGGCCTACCCCTGCCCCAGGCTATATAAATAACACTTAGAATAGTCCTTAGACCAGGGGTAGGCCACCTTGGCTCTTTTATGACTCGTGGACTTCAACTCCCAGAATTCCTGAGCCAGCATGGCTCAGCTTGGAAACCTCTCCCTTTCCCCTCAGCATGGCTGGCTGAGGAATTCTGGGAATTCAAGTCCACAAGTCATAAAAGAGCCCAGGTGGCCTATCCCTGAGCTAAGTGATGCTTTTGAAAGCCAAGCAGTGAAAAGGTTTTTTTATCCAGTTTCTTAACTTTGAGATATGCGGACCTCAACTCCCAGAAGTCCGCATATCTCAAAGTTGCCAAGGTTGAAAAAAAAAATGCTCTTGGATAAAAATGAGAGAACCTAGTGCTTTGTGTTACACTATTCTCCTTGTTTTCTTGGCAATAGGATAGAAGTGCTTTGCTTTGCATTGCCTGGATGGGGGAGTGAGGTCTGAGTTCCCAGCCTGGCTTATAACTCTAGGATTTCCTTTTGGTCTCCCATCCAAGTACTCATCACGATTGACCGTGTTCAGAAAATAAGCCTCTATGGAACAATAGCAGCAGATCCAATCTTGCTACATAACAAACAAGAGGAGAATTAATGGATGTCCCCTGCTGAGAAATGTTCCAAAATGTGACGTTTGAAACTCAGTATTAACTATATAGTTAGTCCTCTATTAGTGACCACAATTGGGAACAGTCACTAAGCCTTGCGGTTGCCTAGTGCAAAATCACATGACTTTGGTCACTCCGTGAAATGTCATGTGATGGTGTCAGGGAATACTACTACTACTACTACTAATAATAATAAAGTTGGAAGGGACCTTGGAGGTCATCTAGTCCAACCCCCTGCTCAGGCAGGAAACCCTATACCATTTCGGACAGATGGCTGTCCAGTTTCTTCTTAAAAACTTCTAGTGTTGGAGCATTCACCACTTCTGGAGGCAGGTAGTTCCATTGGTTAATTGTTCTAACTGTGAGGAAGCTTCTCCTTAGTTCTAGGTTGCTTCTCTGCTTGGTTAGTTTCCATCCGTTGCTTCTTCTCCTGCCTTCAGGCACTTTGGAGAATAGCTTGACTCCAAGTCAGAGACACTGACACGAACTTGTAGTTTTATATAAAGAAATATCTTTTGCATTTATATTTACAACAAACAAGATACTGTAGTCGGGAACACCAGAAACATCAACAGGTAAATCAGGGGTAGTCAATCTTGGCTCTTTTATGACTCGTGGACTTCAACTCCCAGAATTCCCGAGCCAGCCATGCTGAGGGGAAAGGGAGAGTTTTCCAAGCTGAGCCATTCTGGCTCAGGAATTCTGGGAATTGAAGTGCACGAGTCATAAAAGAGCCAAGGTTGACTACCCCTGAGGTAAATCATCAGTCGGTACAGGTAATCCTCGACATACGACCGCAATTGAGCCCAAAATTTATGTTGCTAAGTGAGAAACTTGTTAAGTGGGTTTTGCTCCATTTTATGACTTTTCTTGCCGCTTTTATTAAGCGAATCACTGCAGTTGTTAAATTAGCAACACGGTTGTTAAGTGAGTTTGGCTTCCCCATTGACTTTGCTGGTCAGAAGATCGCAAAAGGGGATCACATGACCCCGGGAACGCTGCAACCGTCATAAATGTCAGTCGGTTGTCAAGCGTCTGAATATAAATTGTGACCACAGGGATGCTTCAATGGTCATAAGTGTGAAAAATGGGTATGTCGCTTTTTTTCAGTGCTGTTTTAACTTCGAACAGTCACTGAGTGAACTGTTGTAAGTCAAGGACTGCCTGTATACTGAGCACACAGAAGAAAAAGGCGGGGAAAAAGGGAAACTCCCCCTTTACACCCACAGCAACCAATCATAGCGCAGATTGCCTCACGCAGGATCCAGCACTCCCCAGCCAACCAACTACAGCTGTGTGTTCTGGCCCATTGTACACTTTTACCGTTCCAGCTACTAAATTTAATATCTGCCTTCTTGATTAACTGCTTGTTACAAGTCAGTTGTGAAGAACACAAATGCTACAATGGCTGTAAACGTGCACTGCGGGCAAAATGCCTGAATGGCAATCGTGTGACCCTGAGACACTGAGACAATTGCAAGTGTGAAGATTAGTCACATAGCTGGGTGTTTTTTTTACACTGTCAAAACTGAACAGTTGCTAAATGAGGCAGTCAGTAAGCGAGGACTATCTGTAATAAAAATACAGAGCCCTGGAGATCATAATACAGATAGTCTTCTCGACCACCACTGCCTCGACCGTAATTGAGGCCAACATTTCTGCTGCTAAACGAGACATTCGTTAAGTAAATCCCGCCCCATTTTACCACCTTTCTTGCCACAGTTGTTAAGTGAGTCACCACAGTTGTTAAGTTAGTAACATGGTTGTTAAATTAATCTGGCTCCCCCATTGACTTTGCTTGTTAAAAGGTTGTGAAATGTGATCCCAGGACGCTGCAACCGTCGTAAATAAGAGCCAGTTGCCAAGTGCCGAATTTTGATCACGTGACCAGGTGAAAAATAGTCATAAGACATTTTTTCCCAATGCGGTTGTATCTTCGAATGGCTCCTAAATGAATGTTTAAGTCAAGTACTACTTGTATTACATGTTCTCAGAAAAACAAAAACTACAGTTATATCAGTAGCAAGTTGATAGGCAAGGACTACAACAATAACTGCATTATACATGGTTTCCCCAAATTTTTATGGTTAAGAGTAGGGTGAGAATCCTTCAGATAAGAGTGGCACAACATTCCTTGCAAGATTTTGGTTTTTAATCTAATTCTAAGGCAGTGTTTTTCAACCCTGGTGACTTGAAAATGGGCTGACTCCAGAATTTTCCAGCCAACCATACTTTTAAGGCAATGGGGGGGGGGAAGTTATTTAATTGGCCTGGGCAACTGAACAATTAATCAGTGGAACAGCCTGCCTCCAGAAACAGTAAATGCTCCAACACTGGAAGTTTTTAAGAAGAGACTGGACAGCCATTTGTCCGAAATGGTGTAGGGTTTCCTGCCTGAGCAGGGGGTTGGACTAGATGACCTCCAAGGTCCCTTCCAACTTTACTACTATTACTATTACTAACTTCACAAGGGAAAGAGAAATTGGTCGTTAGTCGAGGACTCTCCCACTAGCTCTTTTGTGGCAGACAGACATGCTCTTGTAAGCTAAAGAGCCATATCTCACAATGTCACAATCGGTGTCCAGGCTAGAGAGGTGGTGTAGGGAAGGTCCATCAAGATCAATCCATCAGAATAGAGCTGGAAGCCCTATCTCATTTTTGTCCAGTCTCTTCTTAAAAACCTCGAGTGATGAAGCACACACAACTTCTGGTGGCAAGCTGTTCCACTGGTTAATTGTCTACCCTGTTAGGGAGTTTCTTCTTAGTTACAGATTGCTTCTCTCCTTAGATTAATTTCTGCCCATTGTTTCTTGTCCTGCCCACAGGTGCTTTGGTAAATAAATTTACCCCCTCCTCTTTGGCAGCCCCTCAAATACTGGAATACTGCTATCATGTCCCCCCTAGTCCTTCTTTTCTCTAGACTAGCCAAACCCAAATCCGGCAGCCATTCTTCATATATTTTAATCTCCAGGCCTTTAATCATCTTAGTTGGTCTTCTTTGCATTTTTTCCCAAAGTCTCAACATCTTTTTTGTAATGTGGTGAGCCAATTGGATGCAGTATTCC